TAAGTACTCTTGCTTGCTGTTGGTATCTGGAGTGGGGGCAGTGAAGGACCGAGCCCTGACCTGTAGCACCAGTTTGTTCTCAGAACTGACCACATTATAAGACACCCAGGTACTGCTCAGAGAATTCAGGAACTGGTCATTACAGAGAAAAACCCACAGTCTGGGGACCAGAAACACAGTACCAAGAATGGAAGCAGAAATGGAGTACTTTTCCTTTAGTTTTGAGTGAGAATACGGAAGGACAGTTCTTCCTACACAAGAAGCTCCCACTCCTCTGGGATAAATGTCAGGGAGCGTATCTGAGGGGTTGTGTAGCAGTTACCTGGCTAATGGTTTTGCTGTTGACCTTTTTTTAAAGAAACTGCCACACCGTGCTCCCGAGGGGCTACGCCACTCTACAGTTCCACCGGCAATGTAGGAGTGACCCAGGTCCAGATTTGTGCTATCACTAACTTTTAGTTTTTAGCCACTCTCACGGGACTGTAGCAGCTTCAGCATTTCTCTGATGCCTAATGAGATGAACATCTTTTCATATACGCCTCTTTGCACTGGTTTATTTTCTTAGGTAAAAGTGTGTTTTGCCCATTTTCTAATCAGACTGTTTTTTCAACTCCCAAATTTTGCTAATGCCTTAGATGTCCCAGATGCAGGTGTTTTGCTGGCTGTGTGGTTTACAAATATTTTCTCCCAGTATTTAGTGTCGCTTTTCATCTTTTCAACCGTAAAAAATTTTAAGGTGTTTTATAGCTTTTAAAAGCCAAACCAGCCCCAGGCTCTAAGTTCTGTGTGAGTTGATGTCCAGGTGGCCTGCAGGGGTGACGAGTCTGTACTGCAGTACAATGGGGTGACACAGAACGTATTGGCCAGGAAGAAAAAAAAACTTTGCTTGGTAGTACAGGAAGGCCAGCTCCCCTCTGCCATGCCAAGTATGGGAGACAACGATTAACATTTTAAGACTTAAATTTATGGCGGGCGTGGTGGTGCACACCTGTAATCCCAGCACTCAGGAGGCTGAGGCAGGAGGATCGTTGCGAGTTCGAGACCAGCCTGGGCTACGAAGTGAGCTCAAGGCCAGCCTGAACTGCACGGTGAAACCCTGTCTGAAAAAGACAACAACAAAAAAGGAGAATTCATTTAACTGCTACATTTTATATGCTAATATTTTGTAATGGCCTTTTACATCTATATTCTAAGGGACACTGTTTGCAGTCTCCTTTTTTGGTACTGTCTTTGGTTTGGGCATTAGTTTCATGAGTTGCTAAATGTTCTTTCTTTGTATTTTCTATAAGAGATTGCATAAAATTGGTTTTAATTCTTCTCTAATGTTTGATATCAATCTCCAATGAAACTCTCTGGGCCTCGAGGTTTCTTCTGCAGGAACTTTCAACATTTTGCAGAATTAAAGCCCAGAATGGTAGCATATGCCTGCAATCTAAGCTACTCAGGAGGCTGAGGCAGGAGGATCACAAGTATGAAGCTAGCCCGGGCAATTCAATAAAAACCTGTCTAAAAATGAGGGAGACAGAGATAGGGATGTAGCTCAGTATAAAGGACTGTTTGATCCCCACCATACTTTGGGGTGTGTCTCCCACCTCCCCAGAGGCACACAAATTTTGCTGGGCATCATGGTGCATACCTATAATTCCAGCACTCAGGAGGCTGAGGCAGGAAGATTACCTTAAATATAAGACTAGCCTAGGATATATAGCAAATCCCTGTCTCAACCACACACACACACCCCCGCAAAATTTACAAATTAAATTTCCTTAGTGGTTACAGAATAATTCAGATTACTTCATTGTGGTTGAATTTGGTGGTTTACGGCTTTTGGGGGACGTCTACTGCAGCTGCCCACATTTCCACTTGCCACGTTTTTTCTTCCTGTTATTCCAAGATTTCTTTAAGTTTCCTTTTTGTTCCAAGAATTTCCTTTAAAAGGCCGTCTCTTTAGGGTAGGGCTGCTGGTGACCAATTCATTTAGTTCCCTTTGTCTGAGAATGCGGAGCAGTTTCCTGTCCATTCTTAAAGGGTATTTTCCCTGGATACAGGATTCTGGGTTTACAATCCTTTTCTTTCAGCACTTGAACAATGTTGTACCAGGTGCTTCTGAGCTCCGTGGTTTTGAATGAGAAACCTGTTGTTCCATTTTCCCCGTGAAGAAGGTGTCACATCACTTGCTGCCCGCCCCCTCTTCCGCAGTACTCGGGATTAACCCAGGACCCTGAACATGCTAAGCCAAGTGCTCTACCACCAACCCACAGGCCCAGCCATGCCTGTTGCTTTTAAACTTTGTCTTTATAAGATTTATCTAAAGCCAGGTGTGGTGGTACACACCTGTAATCCCAGCACTTGGGAGGCTGAGACAGGAGGATTGCCATGAGTTCGAGGCCAGCCTGGGTTACATCAGTGAGTTCAAGGCCTATCTGCACTACA